CTGAAAATTCTCTTAAGCTGATATATTCTCTATTTTCGAACCTCTGTTGCGTTTTTCTCTATAAATTCGAAATATATCAATAATAATTTCCCATGGTCTATTTTGAGTCTTTAATTTTATTTGTTTAATGTAATTAGACTTTCGTGAATTAAAAGACAAGAAATATGTCAAACGCACGACAAAATTAAAAATTGATGATGATCAAAATAAAAATAATTCAAGATGCGTTTAGGAGCTTGTCTAAAAATTTAATTCACAAGTTTCTTTTGATTGTGTCTAGAAAACCATTTGTTAAACTCATCTTGGCTTTGTCAAATAAAATTGAGCAAAAAGATTATTTTTCAAAGACTTAAAGCCAATGACTGAGTATAGGTTTTGGCATTATCAAAAGGGGGGAAATTGTTAGGAATAAAGTGTAATGGTTTTGATATGCCAAATTTGTATTTGTAGATCCCCCAATTTTATTTCATAGGTCTAGTAGAGTCTTAGACCATGATCGGGAAATTATTTAATTATCAAAAGAGAAAAACAGAGGAAGATGCATGAAATTGGAAGAAGAGAATATCAAGCCGAAAATCAAGAATTTGTCTGGAGAAAATGACAAATTGAAGAAGAAGATGAATGATACAATATTCACGTCGCTACTACTCAAAGAAGATATCCCAGAAGAATTTTCGTGAAGAAAATTAATGTTGGAAGAATGCATGAAATTGACTTGGAGATCAAGCATCTATGGAAAGAAAGAAGTACATCAAATATGATTGGAGATTTAATCAAAAGCTGTATGGACGAAGTGGATGATGCTTGATATATTATTTGAAATGGCTCAAGTTCGAAACTCACCATTAATAATTTTACAAGGTAAAATTTGAGAATTCAAATTAAATTAATCTGATGGAGTTGGGCGCTAGTTTAAGCTTTGGGCGCCAATTACAAGTGGAAATTGGGAAGCAATTTCACTTGGGAGCTAGTTCGAAGCAATTGAAATTGGGAGCCAGTTTCAGAGAAATTCTCTGAAAGTATGATTAATTGAAATCGGGAGCTAGTTGAAATTAAAATTAATTGAAATTGGGAGCTAGTTCGGGAAATTGAAATTGGGAGCAAGTTTCAAATGGAATCAATTCAAGTTGGGAGCCAAGGTAGAATTGTACATTGAAATTGCGAGCCAATTCAAGTTGTAGTATGGGATGCAATTCAGATTGGGGACCAATTAAAAGAAATTGAAATTGGGAGCCAATTCAAGTTGTAGTATGGGATGCAATTCAGATTGGGGACCAATTAAAAGAAGACATTGAGGGGGGACCAATTAAAAGAAATTGAAATTGGGAGCCAATTCAAGTTGTAGTATGGGATGCAATTCAGATTGGGGACCAATTAAAAGAAGACATTGAGGAGCAATTGAATTGAGATGAAATTCAAAGAGAAGTCCAATTTCGAAGTCAACATTGAGAAGAGATGTTGGGAGCCAATTGCAAGTCAAAATCAATTGGGAGCCAATTACAATGGAGAAATTCAAATTAGGTGCCAATTACAAGCCAATTGAAATTGGGTGTCAATTACAAAGGAGAAATTCAAATTGGGTGGAAGTTCAAAGCCAATTGAAATTGGGTGTCAATTACAAAGGAGAAATTCAAATTGGGTGGAAGTTCAAATCCAGTTTGAAGTCTGAGAACACCCAGACGTGAGAATGAAGAAGATGAAGCAGAACTTACAGTGAAAAATATTCTCACAAGGAAAATACTAGTCTAACTAGTATGGGATTAAAATAAAGATTATTTTTGAATCCCAAAGATACAAGGACCACTTCAGAGCTAATCAGAGAAGCCATTCTACACCAAAACTGAGACCCAGATATTTCCACTCAACGTAAAACCAGAGGAATATCAGATGAAGTTTGGGAGCTCATTTACATGGAGAAGAAGATCCATCAAACGGCTAGCTTATCTCTTTCTGACATTTTTGCAGAAGATAAGATAAGATCTCTAACAAAAGATACAAGATTTCAAAAATGAGAGCGTCTCTTTTCAACGGACGGATTCTCATTACCAGCTATAAAATGATGAAGATGTGAAGACTTGAAGAAGCAAGGGGAACAACGAGCAAAGAGCAGAGAGCTAAAATTCTAAGAGCTAAAATCTTCAAGTGTGAGAAAAAGAACTCAGAGAGCTTCAAAGAAAATATTCAGAGAGTTCTTAAACAGAGCAAAGCAGAGCAAAAATATCAAGTGCTTTACTTGATATATTCAAAGAGAGAAAACACTCAGAGCTATCAGGAGAAATCTTTCCAGAGTGTTTATCTTCATCAAAGAGACCTGCGCATCATTGAAGATCAACTACAGAGTCTCAGAAGTTGGAAGCAAGACAACACTTGTTTTGGAGCAAAACAAGAGAAGGGAGGAAAGTAGCACGGAGCTGTGAAATCCTGGATTGTCACACGGAGCTGTGAGATCCGAAGCAGCAGTGTCGGAGGCACTGGGCGTGATTGGTGTGGGCTTGGTGATCAAAGCACCAGATCACGGGATACGTTTCTACCGGAGTGTGGAAGACGGGGGGAAAGTAACGCGGAGTCGTGAAATCCTGGGATAGTAGCGCGGCGACGTGAAACCCGAAGCAGCAGTGTGGTGTCACTGGGCGTGATTAGTGCGGGCTTTGTGATCAAAGCACTAGATCACGGAATTCATTGTATCTTGGAACCAAGGAGTGGTAGATATAGTGAATTGGCTCTTGGAGAAAAGAGCAAGTGGAGTAGGAGGATTACACCACCTCGCGAACCACTATAATTGTCTTGTGTTCTTTACTGCTTTCTTTACATACCGCTCTTTATATATTTGCTCTCACGAAGATATACTGCTCACACAATTTCACACACACTTTATGTTTAATTATTTCCGATGTGCACCATACTCTAACAATCTAGTTATGAGTTTTGGTTTATCTCTGTTTTAGCAATTGTTGTGCTGTGTGAAAAAGTTTGAAAGTCTATTCACCCCCCCCCCCCCCCCTCTAGACTTTCACCTTACCTCTTTTGGGACCAACAGGTTTTGATCAGCTACTTAATGCAATGTGCCATCAATATATTAGCTCATTGATATTCTGACTACTTGTTTTTTCATTGTCCAACTAGAATTCACAACTTTGTTTGGATTCTAATAATGTTTACTATCTCTAATGTCAGGGAGTTAAATTTTTATATATGTTGTTTAATATATGTTGTTTTCCAGGTACCAAACAGTTGGGTGCTCTAATGTCAGGGAGTTAAATTTTTATGCCAATAAGTTGCTTTGGGTTTCACATCAAAAGCAACTATTAACTGGATGACCCTGAGTGGAATAGAGCACAGACTTAATAGATGCTGTGATATGTTTTTAGCACATAATGGGAATTGTACTAAAGAGGTTGTTACGCTTGGGGCAAAAGATAAGTTTTACATTTATCAAATCCTCTAATATAATGTTCTTTAGGTTGAGTATAATATTCTTTCAGTGTTCGTACATTAGGTGATGTTTATAAGATTTAATTCAGTGAATTGAAATTCTCCAATTGCAGTTTTGATATACACAATCTGTATTCAACTATAATTCTTTGAGTAGTCTTCCTAATGACAAAGAAGCTGTCAAGACTATTGGCCAAATAGTTACTAAGCACGGCTCAAAGATAATTTTTAATAGACTTAGAAATGCTCAATATAATGTGATTAACAACAATAATACCCTTTCATTGTTACTAAATTAGATGGTGTATATAATGAGTTATCTCTTTAATTCACTATTTGGCCACTGCAGGTAAGCTGCTACACCAACGGTCCTCAACTAACATTAAATTAGGAGGCTTCCTAATCACAAAGTTGGTGAATTCAAAGGGTAATTCACTATTCATCACTGAGTCCACAATTAACTTTGTGAACTTAATACATGTGTTAGAAATTGACTACGATGTGGCTGCCATTAATATTTTTAATCAATCACTTTTTGGTTAAACTGCAGGTAGGATGCTATAAAGCAAATGTTGCATAAAGGAACTGGAAGTTCAGTTAAAAGGACCTGGCAGTTCACTTAAAAGGACATGCAGAAAGGACCTGGAAGTTCACTTAAAAGGACTTTGAAGTGAGCTTTAAGATGACAGAGGCTGGTAAGTGCATAATCAGGTATAATCATGCCTACTTGGAATAAAATCTATATATTCATTAACAAAATATGTTTAAGCACTTAGTTTTAAAACTATTTTAATTACTTTTACTTTATCAAACTTCTAAGGGTGTTGCATAGTCAGCAAGGGTTGCAACTGTACTGTTTTAATACTACATTCAAATTTTCAAGTTAGAGTGCACTATTACTTTTGATGGTTTCTATACACTATTAAAATTTGATATTCTGTTTACATTATTTGTGGAGTTAATTTTGGATGACAATGAGTTGATTTGCTGTTAGTATTTAATGTAAGGGAATTGTTAATTATGGCACAAAATGGAGGATTTGAATTATTAGCTGGAGCTTGGAAAATATAGAATAATATTTTACCATTAAAAATGACATTACATTAATCTACAATAATGTTGTGCATCTAAAAAGTAGTCCTTTACCTGTATTACATTTCGCTACAAATACAATTTGATGGTCTGTTTGCTAGATGTTATCTGTATCTTCAAGTGATTTATGTGCCATCACTTTCCATTTTTAGTGATATCTCTTCCATCTTCTTCATTTTTTTCTGTCATGTCAGCCATCTCTTGACGTCTTTTACCATACATCTGCATTCATTTTCCATCATTGTGCCCCACTCCCTGAAAAAAAAATCTGTAAAAGGAATATAACAAATCCAGTACCCATAACAGCTCCTAGGAACAAATTCTGAGAATTCATAAAAAAACAATGATCTACGAATATAATCCAAAATGATTGAAAGTTTCAGTCTAGCTGTTTGAGTGAGTCACCAAAATGTCAACATAAAAACCATTGTTACAAAAAAGAGTCCAATAGAGCACATTGTCAATCATTAAAATCATTACACATCTGCTTCCTTCTCAATCTTGACCACACATTCCTTGCTTTTTTTTGAACTTTGTGTGCTTGAAAATTCATCGATTAGTGATCTCTTGATTGTTCCATTCTCAACACTATTCTCTGCATTGAGTCTCTGTGCAACAACTTGGAGTGGACTTTCAGCTTCATTTGCTTGGTCTGTTTCCTACAAAATCAGAAGTTCAAAATGTTTAAGTCACCAATAATAATAAACTATAAACTAATTGGTACAACATGTTACTCGGTAACCCCAAGTATACCTCTAGATCCCATAGGTCCTCATCTGTAAGCTCCAACTCCAACTTTGAGCTGAGATCCCTGTCCCTTACTCCTATTAGTTCTGGGCAATGCTTTTCTACAATCTTTTCATCAGTGATGATCCTCATAACAGGGAAAGCATGCATTGAGATAATTCTGGAACTGTTCTTTGCGAACGGCAATTCGAAATAGGAGATTCTGTCCAATTAGAGTCTCGAGCTCCTTAGGTAGACCCTTCCTTCCCTACATAAAAAGTTAGTATAGATTTTAATTTTCCTATATACCATATGTGAAACAGTATTTGAAAACACAACTTATCTGGTTCAGGTAATACTAAGTTAATAGTCTAGCTAAGATTGAAATATAGTTTTGTACCTTAGTATGGGTATCCTTCAGATCATCCGCGCTAATTCCAAGTAGATCGAGGCACTCCCTGTCCCATAGAAGGAAAGGAGCATTGCCATCCAAGTCCACAACCCTAACCTTAATTCTGTACCTGAGTGTCCCGTCACCCCAATTTCTGTCACATGTACTACACCATAGCCACTTTCCTTTGAGTTTCAGTTTTTTTTTTGCAACCCTTTGTTCTACACGAAGCATAGTACCACTCTGGATCATCAATGAATACAATCCTTGCTGCCACCCAAAAATCGCCAAACTGCATAATATGTTTGACTGTTAACAGAGTTTATAACATAGCCGAAATCAGTATATGTGTGATTATTTAGTACAAATCTTCCCATCAATTTTTATCTAACATTAATTAAACCATCAATATGTGTTTGATTGTGCAGGTTTGTGGGTTAACAGGTGGTATTTGCTACCAAAACAATTAACACCAGACCTGAAAGAGATAAGTACACACTGGTGGACTGATTAATATGAATAAGTTATATAGGACACCACATTTGTGTTACTATTTCTCCATCTCATGCTTATTAGCTAATACAGGTTAAACAGCAAAGAAATTGGATCTATTGTGCAACTTTGAGCAGAACTGAAAGCATGGATTGCAATCAAGTAATATCATAGAGGTATATTTTTAACTCTATACTATAGAGGGGTGCAGAGTTGTGTCTTTATTTATGTAGCTCATGCTTTACATTAATTGCAGGTTAAACCTGCCAGAAGTTTGTACTAACATGGATTGCAACAAATTAAAGACATGGATTCAACAAAGTAAAGAAATAGAGGTATATTATTAAGTGGCAGAATTCCATATATAACCTCTAAACATTTTAAAGGTGTTGGGTCTAATGTATACTATAGAGGGCTGCAGATTTGTGATATTATTTATGTAGCTCATGCTTTACATTAATTGCAGGTTAAACATGTCAGAACTCTGTACTAACATGGATTGCGACATGGATTGCAACAAAGTAAAGACACAGAGGTATATTATTAATTGGAAATTCCATCTATAAAATCTAAACATTATACGAATTGTTTGGTCTAATGTTTAGGTTAATATAATCATTTGCTGTTTTAACAGTCTTAGGAGCTACATCCCTTAAAACAGTCTTACCTCCTTGTCTCTGTAGATGTCATTGATAGTACGAACTTCCATATCAGCAGATAGGGAAACTGAATAGGAGCTACATTCCTTAAAACTTGACTGGGAAATTATACTGCGCATTGGAGTCTGTTCTTGGCTAATACTGTAAAATGATAACATAAAATCAGAATTAATATTAAATGTAAAATTGCAGCTGCAAAAAAAAAAAAAAAAAAAAAAAAAAAAAAAAAAAAAAAAAAAAAAAAAAAAGAATGCAAATACCTTTTCATGAACTCCTCAAATGGGGGAGATTCTTGGTTGAAAAGCAGCTGTGTTACATCATAGGAGCTACAAATCTTGACATCACCACCTTTAGGAAATAATGTTCTAATACACATTAGAAAGGCTTATTGGTGAATAAGTTAGGAGCAGTTATAGGATTTAATCTACTTACTTTTTAGACACACCCTAGCCCTACAAAACTGTATCAACACCAATAATGGCTCTTGTGTAGTAGAATTGTAGAATGCCTCAATCTTGCTTACGTGTTCATCCCACAAAGTACACATTAGTTGTATTCCACTAAAAATATTTAGAAAATATATTAGAAACTCAGAAATCTCTAAAATAGAAAATAAACCATAGGTACTGGAATTCAGTAGTACTCAGTATCTTCAATGGTGAAGTCAATCAGCCTGGAGTTCTTGCCATTGATTAGTTTCTCCTGTGGGCAGTGTATTTCAATCACTCGGCCAATAACATCTACAAAATAATGCTTTAGAATATAGAATAGTAGACAAAATAGTAAATAATTAGAAACCATAGATTGAATGAGAGCACTGATTACCAAATAAGATTTTCTCATCAAGGCCTTCATTAGACTTGATCTCTCTAAAGGTCTTCAGTCGATACATTTTCATAGGAAATTTCACATGCTTAAATCCTTAACCATAGTCTGATAGTTAAATTTTATCATGTACTTCTGTGGGCTGGTTTTGTATGAGTAAAAATTGGTGATAACTCAAAAATTTTTTATAGCATATACTGAACCTTCATCAAAACTGCTAAGGTACTTTTCCACGTACTCTTTGGGTATATGAGCATGCAAGAAGGACCCATGTGTATGTGTAAATAACAAAAATAGGGACTGTAAAATATATATAATCTCTGTTTGAATATCGGAAAAAAATACGAACTGTATAAGTAAAACGACTGTCTATCTATTTTTAAAGAGTACTTACCTCTTCATCATGAAAAACAATCTCTTTTGATCTAAACTTCGATGGATCACTTCTCTCAGGAATCTGATATGCTCGCACCACCCGTAGTCTAAGAGCCTGCCTGGTATTCATCGGAGATATCTGGCTAGCAAGGACAAACATCTTTTGTTATTGAAGAAGAATAGAGAGGCTGTTGTAGAGGGAGATTGCGAATGTATTCAGTAGTTGTATATGTGTTGTATATATAAGGTCTGATGACCTTTCGTTATTGATCATCATCATCATCATCAATAAATGCCCAGAGAATAGGTATGGGTTCGTGGGCTCAATGTCCCATATGAAAAACTGATTGCCTTAAATACATTCTCTAATCCCATTGGATGGGAGAATGATCTGTCGTAGATATTTTGAAAAAATTAGGTTTTCGATATACTTTAGGTATTATACTGCGTAGACCTTTGGTTTTCCGAAGCAAAAACAATAAATTTAGCGGCTTTGTCCAAAACATCGACGTTCGGTTTGGGCAGGATTTTTTTGCTCCGATTGTTTTGCTTTAATATATATATATATATATATATATATATATATATATATATATATATATATATATATATATATATATATATATATATATATATATATATATACCATATGATCTTGTGAAAATTAAATGTTGTTAATACCAACATTTAACCATTACCATATGATCTTGTGAAAATTAAATGTTGTTAATACCAACATTTAACCATTAATATCAACATTTAATTTTCAAAAGACCATATGGCTTTATTATAATTAACATTATTATATTAAATGATATATGATGTTATATTATTGAAGCTTTATCCATTCATATTCTAATTAAAATATATATTTCAATTAAAATGCCTTTCACCATTTTGATACGAGATTGCACTTCAAGTTCTAACGAAAACAATTCACGTTGATGCTCGCATATGCCATGACTATCAACAAAAGTCAGGGTCAAACACTAACTCACGTTGAGTTATTACTAGAAAAAAAAAAAGAAAAAAAAAAGCAATCTTTAATCACGGTTAAATGGTTAATTGTATGTGGTTTTTTTACCGAGTCACCCATCCTGATGGTTTTAACTCTAGACGAGGATAGATAAAATTCTGTTACTACTACCAATGTCCTCTACAAAGAGATTTTCAATAATGTGTAATTCAAGACAGTGATATTATGTTTTTTTTATACAAAGATGATAAAATTGCTATATATCTACATAAAAAATATATCTTCCGTATAAATAATTTCTATAACTGAGTTGCTAGACAACGAGCTAATTAGCCTAATTAATACAAATCATAAACACAGATATATAAAATCTCTAAAGTTGCAGCACTGAATGCGTATATCTACACGTTAGCTATTAATTGACAATTATTTGCTCGAATTCAAGCAATGATAACGTCAGAAAACAGAATCGGTACAACTCAAATCTTCAATTATATTATATAATATTCGATGTTATAATTTATACAATTATATGTCGATCTAAATATTTTTAAAATATTATAACAAATTCATCTCATGCAACGCACGTGCAAAAATACTAGTATATATATATATATATATATATATATATATATATATATATATATATATATATATATATATATATATATATATATATATATATATATTAGATACTAATGAATATAGTAAATAACTATCAATTGTATAATAATTAATTTTTACTCTAAATTAATTATTATTTACACCAATTTATACTATTAATAAAAGTAAAATCCTCCTCTCCACATTCCTGCCCAATTTAATATCTATATCTAATGAATTGTTACCACAGATTGAAATCAAAATGGTTATCAAATTCTGAGAATAATTAAACCATTACAATTGTGAGAATAACATAAACAAATTCGGTGTAATAAATGGGAAAATCCATTTGAAATTCTATGTAATTCTATAAGGAAATAATAATTTATACTATTAATAAAAGTAAATCTTCAATTAAAATGTCTTTCACCTTTTTGATACGAGATTGCACTTCAAGTTCTAACGAAAACAATTCACGTTGATGCTCGCATATGCCATGACTATCAACAAAATTCAGGGTCAAACACTAACTCACGTTGAGTTATTACTGGAAAAAAAAAAACAAAAAAAAAAAAACTAATCTTTAATCACGGTTAAATGGTTAATTGTATTTGGTTTTTTTACTGAGTCACCCATCCTGATGGTTTTAACTCTAGACGAGGATGGATAAAATTCTGTTACTACTACCAATGTCCTCTACAAAGAGATTTTCAATAATGTGTAATTCAAGCCCGTGATATTATGTTTGTTTTTTATACTAAGATGACAAAATTGCTATATATCTACATAAAAAATATATCTTCCGTATAAATAATTTCTATAACTGAGTTGCTAGATAACGAGCTAATTAGCCCAATTAATACAAATCCTAATCACTGATATATAAAATCTCTAAAGTTGCACTACTAAATGCGTATATCTACACGTTAGCTATTAATTGACAATTATTTGCTCGAATTCAAGCAATGATAACATCAGAAAACAGAATCGGTACAACTCAATTCTTCAATTATATTATATAATATTCGATGTTATAATTTATACAATTATATATTGATCTAAATATTTAAATATATATATATATATATATGTGTGTGTGTGTGTGTGTGTGTGTGTGTGTGTGTGTGTGTGTGTGTGTATGTATATATATATATATATATATATATATATATATATATATATATATATATATATATATATATATATATAGTAGATACTAATGAATATAGTAAATAACTATCAATTGTATAATAATTAATTTTTACTCTAAATTAATCAAAAAATTAATTTTACTCTAATTTCGCATCATAAGGAAAATTTAGGAGGGAAAAATTTAGTATTACTTTTCATATACCCGAAAATATAATTCGATTACCTAAATATTAAACATAATTAGATAGGTTATATACATTATAAAATATTTAAAAAGAGATATAATTTCATTAGTTATATTATCTTTATTTTCTAGAATTCAAAATTCATTACCTTCAAATTTATTAATTTATTCTACATTGTCTTATTTTTACATTATCTTGTAATTAAATATTAAAGTTATAATACAAAATATATTTTATACATTTATTTACCAAGTATTTTATACAAATATAATAAATATTAATATTTTGTTCAATACTTTCACGTGATAACCTACTACACACACATCTCACAACGCATGAAACATGTAGGGCGAAAACTATCACTACCACAAATCAATAGGTGCTTGTAAGATAAAGAGTTAATAGTACAACTAAGATCTCATCATATACACAACAAGGCAAATCTAAAGCTTCCTACACCATAATCTCATTAATTGCACGATGAATACATCTATGATATCACCAGTATTCCAATTGCACATGACACACTGCCAATAAAAAAATAATAATAATAATAATAAAGATGAAGACAATGACAATGCTACCCATAGAGCTGTCAATACGGGCCAGCCCGTCCCATATGGGCTGGCCCGTCACGGGCTGGAAGAATACGGGGCGGGACGGGACGGCCCGTTTTCCATACGGGTTGGGATTTTTCCCAACCCAGCCCAAAAGAGAATTAAGAAAAATTAGAGAAATTTAAACCAAAATTTGTATTTATTTAGACTATTATTTTTAGACTAAGTATTTAGACTAGTGTTATTACAAAGTTGCAAACATTTATTTTAGTGACAATAAAATCAATCTCTCATATATTGTCTTGCATTTATATACTTTAAATTACCGATTTAAATAAATAAATTCAATATTTATTTACCTATGCATGAATATCTCCGATATAATATTGCATTGATATACTTTGAAATACTTATTCAAAAATACGCATTCGGCACTATTTCATTCGCGCAAAGCGCGTAAAAAAAACTAGTATACACTAATAAGAGGCAATAAAGTTATTTCCATGTTTTTAGTGCTAACCATTTTGTACATTGTGCTTTTAGAGTTGTACTATAAAAAATTTTTGGACAAAAATACCCTTACCGTTATAACTTCTGTTATCATATACCTTAATTATAAAAATTCTATCTAATAATTTTAGCATTAAATGTCATACAATAATTACCATAAATAATGTTTAATAATTGACAAATTCTATTAGGTAATAAAAATTACTATTATAAAATCTTTGGTAATATGTACACATTATTTTTAATTATTTTGGTTTAATAATATTATACCTTATTTATAAAAATTTAAAATAATACTTTTAGTACTATTAAATATTGATTGACTAAAAATTATCTTAATTAGTAAGGTAATTAATCGGTATTTAGCTTTAAAAAGTTTTCAAATATATGAATTATACATAGTAGCATGGAATCAATTAGTATGACAATTATATTAGGCAATCAAATTAATAATTTACTTTTTAAATTATATCTCCTTTTTAATAATGAATATATATACACAGACTATGCTTATCAAAATAGAATTAAAAGTATATATATATATATATATATATATATATATATATATATATATATATATATATATATATATACACACAGTTAATTTATAATAGTATTACTACAAAATTAATTATACTTGCTTTAATAATTAATTATTAATATTATTGTCTAATAATTATGTCTTGTCACCTTTCTCGGTGTAATTATATATTATGATAATTTGTATACATATATAGTTTTTATACTTAATGTATATATAATATTATTGGTACAAAATAAATTATACTTACCTTAATATATAATTAATTTTTAATATAATTTCCTAATTTTTATTAAAGGTAATTATTCTCATAATTTTACTTTCCTTCTTTTGTGTAATTATTATGGTAATTTTATGGCAATGTATTTATATATTGGAAGAGAACAAATATTATAATTAATATAATTAATAAAATTATTATAGTAATTTCCACAATATTTGGTAATTATAATTAATATAATTAATGAAATTGAGAAATATAAGATTTCAAAATATTTGTGACAATTTCATTAAATTATAATTAATATACTATAAAATATAATTAAATAAATGAAATTAGAAAGTTAACAAAACATGAATATTTATAATTTTTTAAAAATATATATACATACACTTATGCACTATAATAATCATACA